CAAAATTACGAATTACGATTAATTGCACAGCCTTGGTCAATAGTATTACGTTGAAGTCGTAGTGAACCTGACTTTTTGCACATGTAGGTTACTAAGGGTTGACGGAGCATTATTTTATTATTTTGAAGTCATTCATTTATTAATTTTCAACTGCTTTTCCGGGGCCGGGTCACGGGGGCAGCAGACTTAAGAGAAAACCCCAGACTTCTCTCTCCCCAGACACTTCCTCCAGCTCCTCCGGGGGGATCCCGAGGCGTGAGAGACATAGTCCCTCCAGCGTGTCCTGGGTCTTGCCCTAGGTCTCCTCCCGGTGGGACATGCCTGACACAACTCCCTAGGAGGCGGTCGGATGAAAGTCGATTACTTTGAAAATTATTGGTTGGGACATTTCAATAATCAGTGGATATTGATGGGGAAACATCCCCTTTGTCCATGCCAATTCTACGCCCTTGGTTTAACCCAAATGTCCTAAATTTCACAGCAGCACACATACATGTAAAGCTGGAATTACCAGAGAGATTCTGACTGCATCAGCAACTTAACAGCCACTGTCTTTATATAAAGAAACATGCAGAAAAACATCAGCAGTTCATTGTTTATCTTTGACATAAATACTGGCTCTACTCTCCTCAACAATGGTGACACAGAAGAAATTTGCTTCAGGTTTTAAAGAAAGATACAGTTTTTTCCTCGATTTTATGGTAAACTATTGGCAGCTGTGGTTGCTAGAAAGCTACTGTTTTTTTACAGTCTACCTCTGTAGTTTAAGGGTGCTTTTAACTTAGACTTTTGTTTCGGAACCTGTCTCATTTGCCCAGTTAGCGTGTTTAATTTGGCATATGTGAATCCACCAATTGCGCTCGGATCCCCGCCAAAACAATCGCTCCGAGATTGCTTGAATGAGGTGGTCTCGGCTCGATTGAAACAAACTCTGAAACAGGAAAAGGAAAAGACTGAACCCAAAAGTGTGTAGTCTGGGAAGCTGAAGGAGGATCTGTCATTGTTTAAAGCTAAAAAACATTGAAATAAAAAAAATGGCCAGTCCAGAGTCCTAACTAAACCTGACTAAAAATCCCTGGAAAATCATTGGTGACAAAAGGTATGGCTAAGAATCAATGAACTGCAGAAGAGTCTAGAGAAAAAAAAAACCAAGATCACAGCAGAGAGAGTGTGAGAGAGAAGACTAGTAATGTCCTGAGAAACTAGCCATGTCCTGTGAGAGCATAGCAATGTACTGGGAGACACCAGTGATGACCTGTAAAGGCTAGTAGTGATGTCTTTAAGAGACTAGTGATATGCTGTGTGAGACTAATGATGTCTGTGAGAGACTAGTCATGTGCTATGCCAGACTAATGATTATCTTTAAGAGATTTGTGATATTCTGTGTTCTAACTTTTTCATTGCTCTTTATTATTTTCAATCACTGTGGTTTACATAAAATAAAAGATTTATCCTTTTTGTTGTTGAAGTTTCTAGGTGATTTTTATTAGGTTTTATTTTCTTCAAATTTCGAATGGTGAATATTGCAACATTTCTAAAAGAAAATCAAGTGTTCATAAATTGTTCTCTAATTTTGAACTGTATGTACACAAATTCAATGTACTTATAATTTGGCTTCATCACACCAGTAGCTGTTGTCTTTAAAGCTGGTTTCTCAGGTCAGCCCACGTCAGCTCTGTGGGCTGTCGTCATTTGGCTCATGCAACCTCAAAATAGTTTCCCTCGTCTTGAAATGGTCTGCATTGCTATTGTTTTCAGGGGCTGCGAATTGAGGGAAGAGGAAGCGTGTTTTGCGTGGTGCACTCTGTGTTTTCACATGGGCAAACTGCCACTGAGGAAGCAAAGCTATCCCGATCACAATACAAGTTGGAAAAGGCTCAGCAGTGCGGTGCGGATATACAACAGCCGTTCACAGACTACTGCCTGACCCGCTGACCTGCTGCATGCTTTAAATAAAGTCTGTCTGCTGCTTTGACCCACCGATGACTTCCCATGACCCATATTTTCAATGGAAAGTGACTGCGAGAAAGATAAAATAAATTAATAAATACAGAAACAAATAGGTTTTTTTTTATATAGATTTGTCACCAAGGTTTAGGAATTAGATAGATAGTGAACACAGTTGAAGTCAAAATTATTAGCCCTCTTCTAAACTTTCCTATAATTTTTTTCTTTTTCTTTCAAATATTTCCCAAATGATGTTTAACAGAGCAAGGAATTTTTTTACAGTACTTCCTGTAATATTTTATCTTCTGGAGAAAGTCTTATTTGTATCATTTAGGCTAGAATAAAAGCAGTTTTATACAAAAAAACGAAACATTAGCACCCTTGAGCTTTTATTTTTTTCGATTGTCTGCAGCAGTGGTTCCCAAAGTGGGGGTTGGGACCCCCTGGGTGGTCGGGAGACAATAACAGGGGAACGCTTGGTGATTTCCAAAAGTCAAATAAATTTGATTAAACTATTAGTATTGCTATATTTTATCCATAACCCACAGAAGATAAAAAATAGTAGTTAATATAGTTACACAAACATGCAAATAAAAAGCCATCAACCATTAGATTAACAACACAGCAAATGGATTTTATAGCAACCAAATACAGACCACAACAGAACAATGAGGATGATCTCTGAGTGGCGGTCTCCAAAATTAAACCAAGAGGCTTGTGCTAAAACAATAAATGTTAAAAAAATATTTGGTTGTTGGGATGTTGCATTTTTTTTTGTGTTGTCAATATCCTAAATTAGGGAAAATTATTTACAAAGGGAGCTAATAATTCAGGAGGGATATAAATTTTGACTATATATATCAGAGGCACGTGTCCCAGTAAAAATTGCCGGTGCCCCAGTAAATGCTTTCAGATACGATTTACTTTATATGCAAGTGTATTTCTTAAGATCCCTGAATAAAGATGTTATTCTCTATGTGCAACCGAACCAACGCTGATGAAAGCAATGTAGTTTAATCAAAAAGCAAACTGAGCAGATAAAAAAACAAACTCGCTGAGAGGCGCTGCTCTGCTCCTGGTCTGGTTGTGAACATGCACGCCAAAAAAATAGCCATGCCACTCATGCGTTGTGAAACCGGCATTATAGTTTTTTATGAGGTGTTTTTTTGTTTGTTTGTTTGTTTTTTATTTTAGATTTATTAAAAAAGAACGGAAACATTTAGTCTTACTTTGAGTTTTCTGCTATTTACAGAAGGGATATTTCGCCCAGAGTATATGATTGTGTAATAAAATCTATTTCTCCAAAACCATTACATCTGACTAGAACCTGTGCTTAAACAGACTTAAAATGTGAAATGCCTAAATTAGCTATTGAAGAGGAGGAAATCACTGATATTAATTGTAATAATTGGTACATTAGAAGAAATTTTGTTAATAAGTTTAGCTTGTACCTGAAAGCTTTTTATGAATGGAAATTAAATTACCCGGTTCTGTTTACCATTAAAATTTGGCCTGGTATTAATAAGTGCCTAATGAGATGACAGAACTTTATTTAAAAATCCTTCATAGTTACTATCCCTGTAATTCTTAGCTGTCTAAATGTAGTATTCTTCGCAATGCACATTCTGTAATTCTAAACTGGAAACAATAGCGCATTTATTTTTAGAATGCAATTTTATAGAAAAATTTTGGACAAAAATATCCTGGCTTTTCTTCTCAACTTACAAAAAACTTTTTGATTTTAAGACAATTAATTTATTGTTGTTGATTTGGGAGTCAGATTGTAAGGAAATGCACAATATGTTAAAAATTGTAACTCTTTGTGGCCTTTTCCATCTTCACAAATATAGAGTTATTCAGTGTTTGCCTAGTTTTAGAACATTTTGTACTGACTTGAAACTTTATTTTGAATCTGTCTGCCTATCGAAAAGTAAGGAAGCCGCTAAAACAACTGAACTGCTGAATAAAATAATATAATTATAATTATTACCTTTAAGTTATCAGATCCCTTTTGGTACGCCTATGTAACATTCCTAATAATCTAAGTATAGTTTGAGATATTTGTTTTATTTCCTTTGATATATATTTCTATATATATTTTTGTTTTCTTTAAATATTTGTTTTTCTTTCATGTATTGTTTTTTTCCTTATTCCTTGTATCATTTGTGCTACTAAATGTACAATGAATGTGTATAATTTGTATTCAGATCATACAATATTAGCATAAATTCATGTTTTATGTATTCCCTGTTACTTATGTTAATAAAAAATTATAAAATTAAAAATAATAATAATAATTATAACGTTAAAATGGTTTAAAATCTTATCTATAAACATTAATAATTTCTGTGAGAGTAAAGCTGATTTAATGTATTCATACTATTTTGATTAATGGGATTCTTTCAGAACCTTTTTAAAAATCAAAGTTATTTCAAGTTCAAACTCTTTCGAATATATATATATATATATATATATATATATATATATATATATATATATATATATATATATATATATATATATATACACACACACACGCACACACACACACACACACACACATATATATATATATATATATATCAGGTCATTTCAACCTCCAATAACCTTTTCTCAAATCTGAAACGTGCACCTGAACAATAAGACACTTAAAAAGAGACCAGGCGAGGGGATTTCCAAAAATACAGCACTGTTTCCTTCTTTAGCACCGTCTCTTTAGTCACACAGGGCACTGAAAGACATAAACAAAACATTTTTGTGTATAATATAATAAACAATTTGGCGAAATAATCATATTATAGACGGTAATTAAACTTTCTAAATAAAAGAATGTGGATCAGTAAATTAAAAGCAACTTACACGTTTTGAAGCTGAACATCATTGTTATAGTACTACAATTCCCATCGTCCTGTTTTCTATATCCGGAAGGGGCCTTTTCCGCCTTCGTTCGCTGGTTTATAAATTCCATAGACATTCTACTCTGGCGAAGACTTTGCTCATGAATAATAATTTGATGCTTTAAGATATGCCACTTGATTGGCTGAACGAAGACATAGAAACTGGGTGTTTCTCAACAGCAGAACTGTCAAAGCCAAACGCAGCGAAGGTTTGGCTCATTTTTATTAATAAAGAAACGTGATTGGACGCTGAGAAAGGTTTATCCAGGGACGTAGGCACAAACTAATCAATATTCATGAGCCAAACCTTGGCCATAGTAGAATTTGCAATTCCGCTCTCCACCCGTCAGTTGCGGGATAGGCAAACCGTCGGAAGTTTGTGGGAGATGGGCTGAAAAGTCCAGTACAGGCAGACCGAAAACTGATGCACAGGAGTTTCACAGCTGCTTAGAAGTGTGTAAGTAGTCTGCGCATATACTATAGATATATATCTTTAAATATTAAACTTTGAATGTGGTGTTGTTATCAGTAGCACATATTTACTTAGAGCAGTTGACTAGCTGACTTTATGCAAAACCTGTCGCTTCTATTTTAGACAGTGCGTTAAACATTAGGTTTCTTATCTAACGTCCAGAACGTATTCCATGTCCTTTGCATGTAAAACCACCTTTACTATACAAAATGATAGATTAAATATGTCTGAGAATAAGGCATTGATTCTTAATGCCTGTACATGGCTCCGTGCAGCTCTGGTTGCATATCTCTTTCGAATTCTAGTGCAGTACCTAACTAGACAGCATTTTTGGACACTAACGGAATGAATGGAACGCATAAACGTGTCTATGATGCCCATAACTGGTGTAGATTTACCTTTACTAGCGTAATATCATGGCTCTGTGATGTAGGTATGGTATTACCATGTTACTGGTGATGCAATGCATGATATAATCTGTCTGTGTTAGTGCCATTGTGCTTTCTTTCTTTCTTTCTTTCTTTCTTTCTTTCTTTCTTTCTTTCTTTCTTTCTTTCTTTCTTTCTTTCTTTCTTTCTTTCTTTCTTAATGGTGTAGTGTCTTGCTGACAGCTGTTAATCAATGTTTTGATATGTTGAGTTTAATAGTACACGCCCACTTTTTTCCCATTCATTGTTTTTCCATAGGGGTTATAACATGACTTTTTAAGTGGTGAATATATGAAACATTAAATGCATATATGGGATCAAAGACAGGTGTTTTCAAGCTTCATCATGTATCATGTATTTGGCTTAATTTTATTGTAAATATTAAAATTAATTACACAAATATCGATTTTTGTTTAATATTTTATTTTATAAGTACAAGGCTGCAATTGTGCAGTTGTTTAATGTTTACATAAGTATATTATGCTCAATGAAGATTTTAGTACCAATGGGATGTCTTGATCAGGTTTTTATGCCTCCAAGTCATTTGATTTTGAGTATTTACCAATATCGAAACCCGATCCCATACTTCTGTAATACATAAGAAAAGAATAAAGAAGAGCAAAGAAACAGATCCGGTATGTTCCTTATTTTTATTTAATTCACCTTATTTTAAACAAACAGAGCACTTATGTGAGGTAGCTTGAAAAATCAAGAACTAAATATCATAAATTCTTCACTTTTGGACTTTGATGCAACAGCAAATATTAAAACAAAAAAATCTAATCTAAAAACAAGTAGCACCTCAACTTTAAATACCCGGCAGGCAATCCCAAGTTTTATATCTCTCAGTTTGCTATGGCAATGTTGTCATCATCAACTTTATAATACATCCAGATCGCAGACATACTTGCACTCTCCGCCTCAAGCTGCTTTCGTGTTCTACTTTGGCGGCATTTAACCAATAGCGTCTCTGCAACAAAGTGATGTCATGCCACACACTTTGGGTTTAACTCTGTGCTACTGTATATTTATTATCTATAAATGTGTTTTAAAAATTAAATAAGAATATCTATACAACAGTTCTGTCTGGTTCCAGAATTTGATTGGCTGATAGCAGTGCAATTTTCTGCAATATCAGAACTCCTACAGCCTCCTCACCCTTCTGTATTACGCCACCCAAATAGTGCGACAGCAGATTAATAAACTCACTACAATTTGACAAATATTGGAGCTGTTGGACAACATAATGTACTTTTGAGGCTTTTTTTGCCGAAAATTGTAGTTGACTATAGTTTGTAGTCAACTATGCAGTTGATTTATAAAGATAGTGCCTATTTTAAATAGTTATAATTTCGGAATGATGGTGACAAAGACCGCATAATAAGCCCTTAGATGAGGAAAAACCCAGCGTAATTTTAAACTACAGCTGATCAAATCATTATTAAACTGGTAAGTGATTTTCTAAGTTAATCTCTCTTTTTTGTATTTTGTAGTGCTGTATTTATACCATAGTAATTGTAGTGTGTTGAGTGTGAGATGGCAATCACATATTACTGCAGACTAGTTCTGTTAACGTTTGGGGCGAAGCAGTGGCGAAGTAGGTAGTGCTGTTACCTCACAGCAAGAAGGTCGCTGGTTCGAACCTCGGCTCAGTTGTTATTTCTGTGAGGAGTTTGCATGTTCTCCCTGCGTTTGCGTGGTTTCCTCCGGGTACTCCGGTTTCCCCCACAGTCCAAAGACATGCTACAGGTGAATTGGGTAGGCTAAATTGTCCATAGTTTATGCGTGTATGTGTGTTGAGGGTGACAGGCCCAGATGAAAGGTCGGCCGGAATGTGTAAAAAAGTTGTTATCATATGGACAAGTCTACAAGAGCCGACCCCACAACCATACGAGACTAAGGCCAAAGAAGAAGAAGAAGAGTTCAGTTAATGTTTGCAAAGAAGAAATGCCTACGTATGTTTAGCGTTTTTTCTTATCGCAAACACAAAAGTAATACAGACAGACAGACTGACAGACAGACAGACAGACAGACAGACAGATAGACAGATAGATAGATAGATAGATAGATAGATAGATAGATAGATAGATAGATAGATAGATAGATAGATAGATAGATAGATAGATAGATAGATAGATAGATAGAGGAGGTTCATACAAAAGGGTTTTTAGACTCTTTGTGTTTGATTTTCTTTTTTATATACGCAATTATGCCGTCAAACTGTTGTGTAAACACAATATCACACTAGTAGCAGTGCGATGTGGCTGTATATCGTGACTGGTGGGACACTAAGGCACTCAGCTTTATATATACATATATATTTGAGTCCTGATCAGGAGGTAACGTCTGATTCCGATTGAGTTTGAAACTGTGTGATCGGGCCCGATTTCCGATCACGTGATCAGATCTGGACATCCCTAATTACCAATATTTTAACCATTTATTTTTACAGAAGTGAAAATAAAAGGTAAAACGTTAAATTAGACAGTTTACTTGCATTTAACATGCCTTCTATTTGCATATAAAGTCAGTTTTATCGATTTCATTTGATGTGAAAAACCAAAATGGGATGTTTTGTCTCATGCATGCAACTTAAATCAATGGCAACCATCCTTTTTAGCGAATAGACCCTTTTAACAAGCCTGTTATGACACATTTAACGGTCATCAGCTTCTTACATCTTTGAAAGTTTTTAATATTTAGATTTTTTTTTAAAAGGTATGTATATTTATATGAATTAATTTATGTAGTATATCATCTTTGCTTCAAATTACGAAAAAACGTATTACCGCTTGTGTGGGGCATTTCTAATGTCACGTCTATGGGACAGGGCAGTAAATTTGATGTTATTCTCACCTCTGGCTGCTGTCATCAGTCTCACATATTTTTTTTTTCCTTTTTATGAAAGTCTTAATAGATCATCGTGGAATTTTTCGTTTATTATTTGAGCAAATAATATTGTACAAACATTATTTGTTGTATTCTTTCATTCACTGCGCTATAGCTATGATGACCGAGAAACCCAGAAATGAAAAAATGTAGAAGAGAAAAACAAAGTAAATGCTTGTGCTGCTTAGGGTTGGATACCGAAACCGTAACTGGTATGTACCGGATCAAATCAGCATATGAGTTTTGGTGCCACTGGTGCTGCGACGAAGACGTAAGACGCATCAAAGAGGTGCATCAAAGGCACACATAAGCGTTGTGTCACACCATGTTTAAACATTTAATTCTAAAAAATTTGGAGGAATACGGACAGGTGATGTCAGGCGATTGTTATTGTCGCTTAGGGTACGGATGCACGCAACACGCGCAGTACAGCGCATTTAGCCTGGTTTTTGGTAATTGAGAACGGCATTCTTCAGATCAACACGTATGATCGCATTCATCAAATTTAAGTAAACTAAGCATTCTAAAGCATATTTTACAAGGAAGGATTCTGACACACCAACGTGCTTTACAAAAGTTGCGTGTAAGGGGGAAACGTCAAACTTAATGACACATTTGAGGGCTCAAAAAGTCAAAGGAATGCCTCTCTCGCGTGCTCTAGGTGTCGCGCGCAATCCCTCCCTCGGGATCGCACTTGCTCTCTCTGTGACGGTGCTGTGCGCATCAGTTCCCTGCATTCGTCAGAAGTTGACGCCCACATTGACACAGGTAATAAAAAGATTAAACTTCAGTCATGTTCATGTTGTGAAACACTATCAAAATGTCCACTGTTGATGATATTAGACTTCTGTTTTCAATAGCATTTTAATACTTTTAAAATAGGAAGTCTTCAGTTATGCAGAGGCATTTATTAATCAGAAATCTAGTGTACATAGTTTTACGTTAGGAAATGCAGTCTTGAATTTACAGTCGGCAAGTACCAAAGAACAGATGTAACAGATTGATTAAATGTAGTTTTCAGACACGCCTTTATTCATTTTTGATTTTCGTCTTCAACGCATGATTTATTTTCAACACATTTTTAAACATAAGTTTAACTAACTAATTTCTAATATCTACTTTTTTATCTACCCCATAGTGACAGTCAGTGCATACCATTTTACTAGTTACTTTGCAAGACAGTTGTATTCAGACAAAGTTCCTTTAAGTATTTTATAGTCTTTTATTCAGATTAAAGTATAATTTAAAGACTTAATCAGTTAACTACTAAAGTTAAAATAATTAGTCAAATTATTTTGTATTTGTTGTGTAAATCAAAAATACACAGTAAATATTTCTTAATGAGGCTAGTAATACTGACCTTATTTTTATTTTAATTAAAAACTGCTTTTAAGACATAAGACATATGACTTATTATGACTCCAGAATAATAAATTTTTTAGGAATCACTGTGAAAAATTGGTTCAGGCAGCATTTTGGCACCAGTATTGTTTTAAAAGTATAGATTTGGCACCGTTATCGAAAAAACCCAAACGATACCCAACCCTTGCTGCTGGTGAAACATTAAGGTTTTATGTGTGTGCATGCAAGAAGCTGAACATCACTTTCAGGTTAGTTTGATTTGCTCTACAAGCGATATCGGCCACTATACCCTTATTCACTATTCCC